GTTACCAGGGCGTTGGGGTGGCGTGTGATCGCCACCCGGAGTGGGCCAGGGGGGTAGACGGCCTTAATTAACGTCTTCTGCAAACAAAGGACTGTATTCGCTAACCGAATAGTAGCTGCCGGCATCCGTCCGCTGGTGCCCAAAAGATAAGCTGAAAGGCTGCTTTGGCACAGACTTGGTGGTTCGTATCGATTAGAGGGGTGAGCATTTGGGCTTTTAATCAATCGATTTTTCCCTTTAACCAGATTGGTATTTGTCCTTGCACCTTCTGTCCTAGAAGCCTCGTTGTATGGTCAATGTACGAGCATGTACATTATTAGACACACATGAATATGGTTTGCAGCGGAATTCGTTCTTTACCTCAAATAACAAAATTTCGATTAAATGCGACCCTCATAATGTGCTGGTCAGCCCTACGTATGAATCCTGTGAACTGTGTTAGATATAGGCAACGAGCTTGTGCTTCGACTTTGGAATGATGAAATTCAAAATCTCCAATGATAAGAAAAAACCAGATTCGCATACGAGGACCTGCAAACCTCGATTTCGCTATGACTGACGTAAAATGGCTAATAATCTAGAAATGACGCGACGGGCCGAACATGGTCCGCTTTCGGGCTAATTACTGCCCATTCCACACGGTATTAAACATACACGGAATACTCAGTGATGTCAAAAAAGTCTTGCTCGCAACTCACTTACAATGTATTCAAAAATGCAACAATTGAGGCCGATTACTGTTCAAAGGGGGTCCTAGTGAGTCCTATTTATGCAGGTATTTGCTATGGTGTTTTCTTTCAAAGAGAACATAAAAATTTGAACAAGACAGAAACACAACGTCATAAAGTATCGCCACTTCATATTCAACTGCGTACGTTCATTGCGCATTTATAAAATAAAATGTGTCATCAGAGATTGACTTTGAATGAGGAAAGGTTGTAGGCAAGTAAAGAAACAGACTGTTAGTTTGATCTGCGGGTGTGTATGGCCGAATTATCGAATGATCTGTGTGCGATTAATGCAAATGTCAGTTTTAGAACGGTTCTAATCTCTCAGGCTTCAGAACAGGGTGCGGAATTAATTTCGGAAACTCCACATGCGTCTTATTTAGCTCATTTTGACGGTTTCTTTTCTTTTTAGTTTAACGAGAAGGGCAGGAAGATAGACGCCGGTGTTCCGACCCGCTACAAGGTGCAGATCGTTTTGGCCATCATCTTCACCCTTTTGTTCACAATCGAGTGCGTAATGAAGATCATCGCCTTGACCTTCAATGGGTACTGGCAGTCAAAGCGGAACCGGTTCGACATGCTCGTCTCCATTCTGGGCTTAGGCTGGATTATAATGCACTTCAGTATGAGACCCACTCCAGTAGGTTTCCATTGGTGCATTTTTGCTTTATTGTTTGCAGGCTAACTGGAATCTGCACCATTAGGTACTGGGCTGTACTACCTGTTAGTGTTATAACTGGAGTTGAATGTTACCATTTAATTCAGAATAAAGTGAAACCTCGATTAACATGCTTAGTCCGTTCCAGCACCGAGCTCGTCCTGTGAAACACTCGTCTTGCGAAGCGTAGCCAATCAGATTGTATAAGTTCACTGACTGGCTGCGGGTGGCCGAGGACCCACGCTCTGGAAGAAAGACTCAGACATGACAGTTCGACCGTCGATTTCGACGATGTCCACCATGAGCTTCAAAGAGTTGAAGCAACGTGGTGACTCCTGTGAGATATACAGCGAAAGTAGACTCGCGGAGAATCTGCCCCATTCTCACACCACTTCCACACCGGGACCCGGTTATCAAGACAAAGTCAAGAGGGCCGGAGATGGGGGGGGTGAGCAGATGGCTGGCGCGACCAACAATCAACACGCGTACCAACAGCACGTCTCGCTAGGTAGGCTCTCGACTGGAAGCGCCATAAAGGCCACATTAAGAAGAAATCATTGAGTCTAACTCTAAGCCCGCAAATAGCCACTCCACATAAGACACACACTGGGCCGACTATGATGGGGAAGGGAGAGCACAGGCACATACGACAGTTCCCCCGTCGATTTCGACGATGGGCACCGCGTGCTCC